CTTGCAAGGTTTTTGGATGCAGGGTATTCACCTGGAGAAGAGTTGGCCGTTGCCACTGTTCTTCAAAGGATTCAAAGAGCTACTAGTAGCCGATGCAAAAAAAGTTGAGTCGCTGTCGAAAGTGGGAGATTGCTCTTATTCGCATCTGGAAAAAGAGTCTAGTTGAAGAGACCAAAACCCGTACTCTGACAGTCGGCTTCCAAGATGCCGAAGCGCCCGTGTGAGCGGATGATTTCCACTCGCTGGGCCAGACCCTGTCGCAGAACACCCCTGCAGACGACAACTTTGTCTGAGAAGTCCTGACAGCTCACTCACGAGCCTAAGTGAGAGAAAAAAAAAGAAAAGTAAGCAGTGAAAGCTGTCGTTGCTGTCGAGTTGGAAAGTTGCTTGTTCAAGTCAATTGGAAGAATCAGGAAAAAAAACAGGCCGGTTTTTCGTGCTTTGTGCATTGCTCGGAGCCTCACTTTCATTTTGACGATTTGATGGACTCATGTTCAAGCCGAAACACCATGACGGGTCTCCCCAGTTTTTCTTCTTTTCGGCGCACAAAAGCGTTCTCGTGTGGCTGCTTAAGTTGTTTGGTTTGGCTCAGTAAGTGGGTGTGGTGAGGTTTTTCGGGAAGTTTCCGGTAAGTGACGACTATTATCTTATTTCTTCTCACGTCCGGATCTTGTAAATCTCAATGCGATTGGTGACATACAAAGGAAGGTGTAAAAGTGCGTCCGTTTTTGATCATTGCCAAATGGCGCCAAGAACAACAAGCACGGAAGCAAATTCTCCTGGTGCTCCAAACAAGAAGTAGAGGATGCGAGCTAAGGCCGATTCGCCTCCTAAAGTTGAAGGGTACCAATGGAGCTCAAGGCTTTCAAAACGAACATCACCATGACTTGTAAGGTTTGCAAGTTGTTTATGGAGTCTTGCAAAACCGGGGAAGCCTTCGAGGTCTCCTACAGCAGCCTTGTGTTGGCTTTGAGACTGAGGATTTTGGCATGATCTCATGATCTCTTCAATCGGGGATTTGCGTGGGAATGAACAGCCGAGTGGTGTGGTCAGCGTGGTAATCGAGATGTTTCATATGTTTTCGTGCCAGCGTGGTATTCGAGATGTCAGATGTGGTTGCGCATGATAGAAGACGTTGAGTTGGTTTCGCATGGCCAGTGTGAGGTACTCGAGATGTTTCATCTGGTTTGTGTGGCCGGCCGAAGATGCTTGATGTGGTTTCCCGTGGTGGACGAGATGTGTCATGTGGTTCCTGTGGCCAGCGTGGTACTCGACATGTTCATTTGGTTTCGTGTGGCCAACGTGGTGCTCGAGATGCTTCCTGTGTGGTTTTGTGTGGATAGCCTTGGTACTTGAGACCTCCCTGTACTCGTCGTGGGTCAAAGTCTTCCGATTGTCCTTGTCGATGCCCTTGCTCTTGTTCTTGTGGTGCATCTTGCCCTCGTGGTCAACAAGCAGCTTGCTGTAAGATTTTGGGCCTAGGCAGACCACTTCAGACATGCTAAGGGGAGAATTCTCTTCGCCAAATCCTGTCCAGAGCAAGCTGGGCAGACTCCAAGTCTACGCCGATGCTCTGCAGGTACCGCATTGCCTTGTCAGGGTCCTTGATGTCGCCCAAAACGTCCCAGAAGCAGGGCGACTCGGGGTTGAAGTTCTCCAAAGCTAGCAAGAAGGTTGAGCAGGCAGATGACGCTGTCCGTGTCCGTGTAGATGATCTGCACCTTCGACCTCTCGCTCAGGGGCCTCGCCTCATCGCAGGCCTTGGTCAAGCCCAAGAGGCTTGCCCTGGTGCTTCGAAACTGAGACTCCATAACTTGGAAGATGTAGCTCGCAGCTTTGAATAAATATTTTTGGTGCGCCTTGCAGAGTCTGTGCTGGGGAGTTTCCAGAGTACAGCCTGACAAATCCACCAATGCAATGGCCATGCCAGATGCAACTCGGACCCGGCGTGGGGAAGACAGGTGGTGCCGAACAGTGGACGTGATCAAGGAGGTAGCCCGAACGGACTTGATCACCCCATCTTACAGACCGTGATCAGGACGGTGTGCCATTGTCAAGACTTTCCGGCCCACAAAGCTTTGGTTTAGAAAGGCTTAGGGTGCGGTGCAGCTGCGTCAGCACTCAGCCGCCGGCGACCTGCCCTGGTGCACAGTTGCAAAGACTCCAAGACTTGGAAAAGATAGCTCGCGGCGTGGCACTGTTTTTAAGTGTCTTTGTGCTCAAACGTCTAAGGCGGATGCTGCAAGCTCGTCAAGAACTGACCTTCTTATGGGACCCTCTTCAGCCTTTGACTGCAAGCCAATATGGCGAGCACTCAGAAGTCGAGCACCCACCGGTATGGCCGTCCCCGGCGGAGATCGGTCAAAATGAAGCGCAGGGCTCGAACTGCGACCAATACGCCGGATCCACAGTGTACGAAGTCGCTGGAGTGCTGACTGAGGTCATCATACAAAGTGCAAAGCCAAGGATGCACTTCCACGTGCAGCCGAGTGATCCACTGCAGACGCCCAAGCGCCGTCTGAATGGCCCAAACCTCCACCCCGCACTTTGTCAGGAGCAGACGAACCAGAGAGTACAACTTCTCCCGATTGGCATCTGGCACAAAGACCGTTTTCCTGCCCTGGTCAAAGACCAGCCTGCAACAAGCAGGCGGAAACTTCAAGCGCTCCCGTGGACATCGCGAGGAGCAAATCGTCCACACATGCTCAATAAGTGCTTGAGTTCACATGTCGATGTTCAGCTCAGTTTTTGCGTTGCTGCTGCATTGGCATTCCGTGCAGCACCACATTTCAACTCGATGCAGCAAAAGATCTCAGACCAGTAGCAGGCTGGCCGGATTCGACATGACAGTAGTTGGCTGATGGGAATAGGATCCATGGCACCAAACAGAATCGGTAACCTGGGACTTTGGGGGACTTGCTTGGGCTTCAACAATCATCAAGCGTCAACCCTACCTTAACCCCAAAGCATGGGCTTCGAGAGCAAGCTCGCACAACCTTCTCTCGTTTTATCACTTGAAATCCAGGGGTCCAGGAGTTCGTTTGACTCCGGTTGCTGCCGGAACTGTCGGACCGTCCGCGGGAGGCGGAGGTCCGCTTCCGCTTGAGCGATCGGGAAGATGAATGTCCTCTTGGTCCCGGACTAGCAACCGTGTCTGCTCACCGATGAGTCGGTGTCCGGAGTAAACCCAGCCTGCCACATCCCAAAATGCTACAACCTTCCAGGGCGTGTCATGTTGGTGGGCCAGATTCTCAGGCCTCTGGGTTCGCACCATGGACTTGTTGGTCCATTGTTGGTGCGTCACGTCCGCGCCTCTCTTACTTCTGCCGCACAGAACTGAATTGCAATGTTTGCCCTGCGTTCGAGGAATCCATTGGCAGATGTGTCGCATTCGTTTCGCATCGCCGGGTGTCAGCATGGGTGTACATATACCATAACCCTAGACCCTAAACCATTGTGGTGCTTCTAGGATGGTCCTTGGGTTTGGGCTGTTTTCAAGTCATTTAGTCAGGGAGCACGGCGACAACGCACAAATGTAAGATTTCAAGAAGCGCTTCTGCAACAGGCAACTCCGACTCGATGCGTTCGTGCCCACTGTCGGGATATCGGGGATGGATATCAGACTCTGGCTGAGGTTTGGATTTCAGAGTTGGGGGGGCCTTGAAGCGAGAATCATGAGCATGATTGGGAGGCCTTTACTTGTTCTGGCTGATGCTGTGGCGTCGGATGCCTCGGCCGATGGATGTCAGGTTCACTTTGAGGTTGTTGGACAGCGCAAACACAGCCAGGATCCTGAACTGCAGATCCAGCTTGTAGATCGCGCGATCCAGCGGGTCCTGTTGTCTGCCAGGAGCTTGACTCAGATGGCTTTGACGCGGATGCGTGCTTGGTGACGGTGCCAAGTGGGAGATCCTCGCAGTAGCCGTCGAGCCTCTCCCTCGTTGCGGCCAGTACGCCTGTGCCGTCGCCTCGCTCAGGGCACAGATGCTGTTCTCGGCGCAGCCCATGGCAGCCCGGGCCGCCATTGGAAGACAGTGGCCATCCGCCGTATGTCTCTAGGTTGGGGCACTCGTCGTACCCGGGCGTGAAGGAGTGAATCAGAAGAGGACGAGCTCCAGGATGCCCTTAGCTGCAGCTTCGGACCGCCGGGAACGTCGGATTGTTCTGCTTCAGGGGGTGCCGAAGCCAACCCGCGACCAAACAAGACAGACACACCCATCGCTTCCTCCCGAGCCTTGATCGCCGCCATCTCTCCTCAGCCGGGTGGGGGTACAGTCGGCGCTTGAGGCTCTAGTGGGCGCTTGCTTGCCCGATCTCGCCGGTTGCCAGATCCACCGTAGTGCCATCGATGCGCTTCGCAAAGTATGCGTCAATCTGGCCATGATGGAGGGCTGAGCGGGGACGGGAAATCCGCAGAGGGCTCGTCACCACGACTCCAGCTAGTTGTTCGCGACGTAGGTACACGTAATGATTAATGTCGGTTCAAGCTCCATGCTAAAATTAAAATGATCCTGTGAGGCCACACGATCTACTTGTTGAGGCAGGCCTTGGGAATTTAGAGATTTGTTGCAGATGTGGTGTTGTGTTCGGCCAGCCGAAACGAAAATTGCCAGGCTGACAACGTGCAGGAGCATCAGCTGTGGAATGAGAATTCCCTGAGTAGTGTTCACCAAGTCCAGGGGAAAGTGCCCAGTGAAGTTTGACGAGGCCCAAGCTGGCATCTGCCTCAGACGCTTTCAAAGACAGCCATGGCGGCGCCGGGCAAGCGAGCCTTCGCAGGAAGCGGGCCGAGGATTGGTGAGACCGGAAAGTTTGAGGGAGAGTTTGAAGTGCAGAAGGCTGCTCCGTTCATCAAGCACCGCCTGGAAGTTTGGGAAAAGCTTTACAAGAAGTACACTGCCGACATGGCCGAGAAGCCTCGCAAGGACATCAAGATCGAGCTCCCTGATGGCTCGCTGAAAGATGGCCAAGCTTTTGAGACAAGCCCGATGGACATAGCCATGTCCATATCCAAAGGCTTGGCGGAGTCTGTGGTGGTGGCCAAGGTCATCTACAAGGAAGCCGTAGAATCCTTGAAACAGTGCGTAGTGGCAGACGTTGAGGACGAGGTTGAGGAGCAAGATCCTGAGCAAAGCGTCCTCTGGGATCTCACAAGGCCTTTAGAGGGCAGCTGTCGCATGGAGCTGTTAAAGTTTGATGACCCAAAGGGTCAGGACGTCTTCTGGCACTCGAGCGCGCACATCTTGGGTCAAGCCCTTGAGCGAGAGTTCGGCTGTCATCTGACCATCGGCCCCGCCTTGGAGTCCGGCTTTTACTACGATGGCTACTATGGAGAGAAGAAGCTGAACGATGCTGACTTCTCAGCCATCGAGAAGCATGCGGCGCAGATCTGCAAGGAGTCACAGCTCTTTGAACGTTGTGTCTTATCCAAAGAGGACGCGCTCGAGCTCTTCAAAGAGAACCCCTTCAAGGTTCAGCTGATCACGAACAAGGTGCCAAATGGTGCCACGACCAGCTGCTACCGTTGTGGTGATCTGGTGGACCTTTGCCGTGGGCCCCACCTGCCCAACACCAACCGTGCCAAGGCCCTGAAGCGTATTTAAGTAGAACAGAGTCCTGAAAAACTCAACTAAAAACCCTGCAGCCTTTGATTTGAAAGGCTCAACCTTGGACGCCCAACGCGAGAAATCCTAAACCCAAGACCCTGAACCACAAATCCAAAGCCAAAACCCCCAAAATGCTCGAACTCCCAACCTCAAGATACATTTATTGGTTTCTTGAACAGGGATCCGAATACCACGGATCTCATCATCTAATGAAATTGGTTCATCCCTTTTAGACAGAGGCTTTCATGGTGACGAAGAACTCGTCGGCCTACTGGTTAGGAGATCAAAATCTGGATTCCCTCCAGCGCCTCTACGGAATCGCTTTTCCCAATGACAAGCTGCTGAAGCTTTGACAAAAAGATGGGGTTTAGGGCTTGGGGTTTAGGATTTCGGGTTTAGGGTTTAGAGCTTAGGGTTTAGGGATTACATTACAGCCCCAGGAAAACAGACAGTGTACTGACAGTGTACTCTTGTTTTGACAAAGCTCTGGGCAGCTTAGGAAAGAGTACAAGAGACTCCTGGAAGAGGCTGCCAAAAGAGATCACAGGAACATCGCGAAGCAGCAAGAGCTTCTAATGTTCCATCCCGTGATGTCTCCTGGTTGCTGCTTCTGGTTCCCGATGGGCACAAGGATCTACAACAAGCTCATCGATTTCATGCGCAGTGAATACCGTCTTCGTGGCTTTCAGGAAGTGGTGACGCCTAACATGTATGATTCGCGGCTCTTTAAGTGTTCTGGCCATTACCAGAACTACCGGTCAGACATGTACAGCCTGGATGTGGAGACGCAAGAGTGGATGCTTAAGCCAATGAATTGCCCAGGCCACTTCGTGCCTGGGCAGCAACGAATCGACATCAAGACCCGTGTGGCTGGTCTACTTTGTTTCCTTCTGTATCGTTTTGTCTCAGTCTGATTGAGCTTCTGTCCTTGCTTACGAATTAAAAGCAAGCACATGGTGGCCGATGGAAGCGTCGCAAGCTGCCGCAATAAGATACGAGACCACTGCGTAGCAGAGTCGCCCAAGTCAATGAAACCTTGCCAGTTTTTGGAATCTGATCTTCTGCTCATGTCATAACGGTGATACGTGCTGTACGTTTCTCTCGTACTCTCTGTCCATGCTCTCGAATTGCTTTGACTATCCACAGAACTTGCTAGTACGAGATGCTCAAGTAAGTAGGGCAAGCCTCAATGCAACTTACCAACCTTGCACTGTGCCAGAGATGAAGTCTGTGCACCCTATCGGGAAATCCGACATTCCGACAACTCTGCAGGTCATGTTTGATGCCCGCGTGCGGAGCTACAAAGAGCTGCCCCTCCGCTATGCGGACTTCGGTGTGTTGCACCGGAACGAGGCCTCGGGTGCCCTGACGGGCCTTACCAGGGTGCGGCGCTTCCAGCAGGACGACGGGCACATCTTCTGTCGCCCAGACCAAATCAAGTCGGAGGACGGGGCGATTTGTTCTATCTTCGCAGTCTGTACGCTAGGGTAGGCACCCACAGTGATCAAGAATCGGCAAGTAGAATCCTCGAAAATCTCCAGGTAGCCAGCGCCCTGGACTTCTTGGACTTCGTGTATAGGATCTTCGGCTTCGAGGCCAGCTATGCCTTGTCCACGCGCCCAGTGAAGGCACTGGGGTCCAAGGAAATCTGGGAGAACGCCGAGGTGCAGCTGAAGGCAGCCCTGGAGCAGTCCGGAAGGGAGTGGACCTTGAATCCGGGAGATGGGGCATTCTATGGACCCAAGATTGACATCCGGTTGCAGGATGCTATGAAGCGGAAGCACCAGTGCGGCACCATTCAGCTGGACTTCAACGGGCCCATACGGTTCAACTTGCAATACCGCACAGAGGCTGTGGATGAGAACGCAGAAGAAGAGGGCAATGGGGAATTCAAGGGCACTGAGGAGAAGAATGATGAGGGCGAGGCAGTCTGAACAATACATCTCGAGCAAGTTTTCTTTCTTGGACAAGTCTAAGCTATGTTGACTGTCACACCAATCTGACCTTGCCAGTCATTCTTAGTCACTGACTGTAGTATGCTATGGAACTAATTCATGGGCAGAATGCACTGACACGAAAGGTGATGTGGCGCGAAGGTCGCCTGAAGAACGGTTTCGAGCGGCCGGTGATCATCCACCGTGCAATCCTGGGTTCCATCGAGCGCATGTCAGCAATCTTGATGGAGCATTACGCGGGGAAGTGGCCCTTCTGGTTATCACCACGGCAGGTGCAAGTGGTGCCCGTGGGAACGCAGTTCAGTGAGTATGCGCTGTGGGTGGTGCGTCAGCTGCAAATCCACGGCTTCCATGCAGAGGCAGAGACAAGTGGCAAGACGTTGAATAAGAAGGTGCGCGAAGCGCAGCTGGCACAGTGGAACTACATTGCTGTCGTGGGGGCTGAGGAACAGAACTCGTTGTCAGTGAACTTGAGATCCCGAGAATCCGCGCAGGCCCTGGGCTCCTTCTCCATGATGGACTTCATTGCAAAGCTGGATTCTGAGGCCATGCCAAGCTCGCAGCCCCTGCGACAGTTCGAGCCCTTTCAAGGCCGGCTGCCCCAAGCCACAAAGGCTGAGCCCGAGACCAAGACGAAGGCCGAGCCAGAAGTTTCCAAGGTCAAAGAGTCGAAAGGTGGGAGTTTCTCAAAACCCTAAACCCTAAACGCTAAACCCTAAACCCTAAACCCTAACCCTAAACCCTAAACCCTAAACTCCTCTTTGGGGGTCGTGGTCCTCTGTGTTCTGAGATGTCCGAGGTTCCTTGCAGCTTCGGAAAGCCAACAGCGACAGGTTTGCGTCGCTGTCCGTGGAGGAGGACGTGGAGGGTTTCCTGGAGAGCCACCCCTATGTGAAAGGCTTCAATCCTACCAAGGCGGCGGCCGGGGGTTTCGGAGTTTCGGGTGTATCGGAGTTTCGGGTGTACCGGGTGTATCGGGTGTATCTGGGCTTCAGGGCTTCAGTCCCGAGAAAGGCGGACCTCGAGCTTTTCGATCAACTCTGTGAGTCTGGAGTGCCGGAGACCCCGAACTTGAAGCGATGGTTCGATCACATTGAGTCCTTCCCCAGCACGCAACGGGCGCAATGGGTGACAGCGTAGCAGGGCCCAGAAAGCCGGGGCTTTTCCATGCCGCAAGCGAGGAGGAGCGACGATTCGCATATGATGCACTTATGGTTTTTTTTCTGAAACGTGAGGTCTGTCTATGATTACGCCAGAGCGAGGGTTTCTGAAAGAGATCCAAGCACGTGCCGAGGATCTAGTCCAAGCTGACAAGATTTGTACAGTGTACAGGAAGTCAGAGAGGGGTGTTACTTAGTTACTTGTCATCTAGCTGGGGGGTTGTCCATTAAGTCCGGGTTCTTTCTGGCATCCGCACCGAAAGCTCTCCAACCTAACCGCTAAGCACTAAACCCCAAACCCTAAACTCTAAACCTTAAACTCTAACCCCTAAACCCTGCACCTGATATCGTAAGCCCTAAAGCCCAAGCCCTCAGGTTTAAAACTAAATCGTAAGCCCTGCGACATAAAACCGAACCCCGAAGTCCAAAACCACAAACTTCCCAGCCTCAAAGCTTAAGCCTTAAGCCCTAAACACTAGACCCAACAAAAGAACTCCGCTTCTTCGACCCCCCCCACATGCACCCTTTGGGATGCCTTTCTGGCACGGCTTCGATTCGAAGGCTGTGCCGGGCTTTCATGGGTCGCGGGAGATACGGGCCGAGGCTTTTCGTTGCGCTTTCCGGCTCCGTGGATCCTTTGGACTGCGAAAGAGGAGGACTTGAAAAAACTTGGTTGAAGCTGAGGTTCAAAACATGACCACGAATAATGGAAGAGGCCTGCACAATGCTTTAAAGAATATGAGAGGGTCTTTAATCCGACACTGCGCCCGTCGGGACAGAAGTGCAGATTGTGACTTGGATGTGCGACGCGTTTTCATGCATGGCCATCGAAGAGAATCAGCCATTCGTCACGATGTGTACAACAGTGTAGAAGTAACGACACAGCACGACAGCAAGGTTGTGAACGTGTCGTCAGAACGTGACAAATCATCGAATGAGTCCTCAATGGCCATTCCATCCGCGTCGAAAATTGGGAGCTCCGCTGTAAATCTCGGTCAGCAATTCAAGCCGTTTAGCTTTGTGCCCTTGACGACACGGTGTGCCTTCCTGGTTCAGCAAGCTGGAAAGAGGCGAACATGGGTTGTGGAACCGAACCTTCACTCAAAGTTTCGTGTGTCTAGACATTCTAAACCCAAGATAAACTAAAGCAATTTCTTCGGCAGTTGTTAAGCAGTCGTACTTTGCTATCGTGAATTGTCAGCAGTTGCAGCAGCAGCCGCAGCAAATGCATGAGCATTGAGCAGATTTTGTCAGCATGTTCTGGCATGTGGACAGTCGCAGCTCATGACCTCGGATGCCCGTGAAATTCGGGTCCAACGCATGAGGGGAAAGGTGTGCTGCAGCAATGCGAAGGTGTTTCTGTATCTCAAACACTCCCGGGCCAAGGTGTTTTCAGGGTCAAGTGCAGCATCATGATTCCGCAGTAGAGGTTGGCGCTTTTTTTGGAGCCGGTGACTGTTTCATAGCTCATGGCAGTTGTTGTTAGAGGCAGTGCAGACAGTGTCGATTGTTCAGGCATTTCGAGCTGTGCTGATGTCGGATAGGAATGCATAGGTTTAGTCGTTTCAGTTCAGGAGTGCAGCATCCACATGTGTTAAGGTTCTGCCAAGGTAGTTGTAGAAAGCCTCTCCTGGCTGTGGTGTTGCACACTTGTGTTCCTGATGGGTCTGGTTGCACCGGATGTGTGGACATTTGAGTCCTCCGGCGCTTTTTGCTGTTGGATGTGGGGAGGTCTCTTTTCCTCTTGGCCCTGATGTCGCCGGTGATGTCCTTGAACGTGCGCCGCCGACGCATCCAGTGCATCACCAGGTTCTCGACGTTGGCCGTCTTCGCCCGGACCTGCGGTCCCACCAGGCGACGTAGGCGTTAGCGACGTGCTGCAGGCATTGCAGGCATTCTGGGATAGGAGCGGGACATCTGAAGTTCCCCCTATTGAAGCCCGCAAAAATGAGGCGTGATCCTGCGCCATTTTCGAGTGAACCAACGCGCCTGCAGCCACAGCAGCCATTGCATCAGCATGAAGCCCGATGGGACATTTCCGACCGTATTTGGCAGATGCGAAGAGAACGTTGTGTTGCTTCGACGATGACGTTTCTATTCTTGATATGTGGTCTCGAGGCGATGTGGCATGTGCCAAACGTGACCTGACAACCTTTTGCGTCGCGAAGTGAAACTATGGATCTTGTATTGGACACCAGCCGTTGCATGTCCCAGGTTATGCTTCGTTCTACACGTAGCCCTGTCTCAGGGGGTATTTCTGAAAAGCACGGTCTCTGTATGTATCAGTCTCGTGAAGCTGGTGCAGCATGTGGGGGCAGGGGTGCTTTTAGCGTTGCATCGAAAGTGCGAAGAACGCCGTGGCGTGCCATAGCCTTACATCACGACTTGGAAGTTTGCCATGACTGGATACCCGCCGCCCCACCACTACCGATAACTTCAGTTTGCTCTATCGCGAGGAATTTGTTGTACCTCCAGTTGTTATGCAGCAATTCGGCCTCGAGCTTGGCTGATGTGGCATGGAACGTAACAGTGACCACTTCAGAATGATTGAAACAAAAAACGAGGACCCAGACGCTTGGATCTGCTGCCCAAGTCCCAGCCATGCCTGAAAACCTTGGCCGCTAGGCCCCTGAACTCTAATCCTGAAAATTTAAACCCTGAACTCTTAAACCAATAATTGAAACCTGCCGAAGCCCTCAACCCATAAACCCACACCCACTGACAGCTCGACACATGAGAATCTTCTTGCTTCTCCTGGCCCGGCCGCTTCTCGCCGCCAGCAGCGAAGCTGGGGTCAACACGGCATTTTCGGATCCTGAGGACGCTACCCGGGTTTAGGGCAAAGCTGCCACTGAAGCCCTTAAAGCGGGATTTATAGTAGCCTTCCAGGGATGTTAAAAGCGGGGTCACGGGCTTTATCGGTTGTGATGCATTGTCTTTGTGGAGGGGTTTAAAGTCTAAACAAGAAGCAGCATTTCCCGTGCTGGTTCGTCCTAATTAACCTGTACTACACTAGCAAGCCTTGCGGCAATTATTGCGACCCCGGAAGCCACAAACCCTAAGCCCCAAGTCCCCAGCCTTGAACCCTTAACCTGAGGGCTTTTCGAGTATACGATACGGCTAGCGAGTACGAGTATCTACAGTTGAAGCAAGTAAAATGATCACCATCATGGTAACTGCAGCGTTATGCCGTTAGTGATAGTCAGAGCAATAGCAATCATCATGGCCAAAATGATGGTAGGCATAGCAAGCTTATGGCTGGCCATACTCGTCATACTCTTGGATTGTGCAATGAACCCTAAACTCCGTGAAAAACCCTAAACCGGACCCCTTTACCCTAAGCCCCTCAGCCCGAACCCTGAAACCCTTGACCCTGAACCCTAACAGGCTAAAGCCCTAAACTCGAATCCTACAGCCCAAACTGTAGGGATACTGGACGGAAGCCCAAAACCTAAACCCTAAAGCGCCAAGAACCCTAAAGCCTCAAACCCCAAAGAATTCTCAGGAGGGTGCGCATGAAGCCCTACAGCTTCTGCAGCTTCGCGGGAGGGGGATGCGGAGGGATGGTGTGGAGGCCCGGCGTTGGGGTTTGAGGGTATGGAAGAGCATTTTTTGTACGGCCTAAATTGACTGAGTTAAAGTAATGATGGTGCTCATAAGTCATAAGGTTCAAAGATCACGGGGTTTAGGATTACTCGGTGTCATTTCGTGGAGTCTTTTGGCTTTCGGGTTCGGGTGCTCTGCAACAAGAAGCCTTGCCATGCTTCCGCCTGACCCCCTGGCGGTGGAGTGGAACCCCTCAACCCTAAACCCTAAACCCTGAACCCCTCAACAGTAAATGAAACCTGGGCCTTGAAAGCCTAGACTCTTAGGGCTCCTTGGGCTGTTGAATTTTGGGATTCCGTGCTGTTAATTCTTGTTCAACAGCGAGCACATAAACAGGGGGAATATGTCTTCCTAACAGGGACCCCCCTAGACATGTAAGCTTTAAGCCGGAAGCCCTAAACTCTACAGAAGAGGAATGCTGAACCCCGGAGTGGGTTTGTGGCTTTGGGTAAGTTGTTAAGATGGGGTTCAACGCTGAATGTCGGGCTTTGTCGGGTTCGAAGAGGGCCGAGGGTATAGGGTTTCGGCAGAGCGATCGTCTATGAACATTAGCGACTGCAACGTTCAGGGGTTTGTATCCTAGGGCTTTAACGTCGTAGATGGCTGAGGCTTTGGCCTTCGAATGGTTCTTGGGTTTGGCGTTTACGAGTTTATGTCTTTTGCGAGCTTCTTGGGTTTGGGGACCATGGGTTTCCGGGTTTGAAGGTGTAGCGGGTTGCAGTTCTTAACTTAGGGTGCTGGGGGTGCAGAATCGTACATCTTTATGGGCAGAAGGAACTGAATGGAATCACCAAGCACTCACGAAAGGCAGCTGCGTTTCGTGCCACATGGCTCCTGGACCCAAGCCCTAAAGCCGCATGCTCAAGACCTTCACCAGTGCCGTTTAACCCTAAACCGCACCATGACTTGACGGGTGACGGACGGGAAGCCCTTGATACCCTGGACCCTAAACCCTAAACCCTAAACCCTAAACCCCCTTGATACCCTAAACCCTAAACCCTAAACCCTCCTCAACACAAGTTCTCACATCCAAACCCCTAGGGCGAGCCATGACCTGCTGGCTGTTTTTCGCAGGTTCGCATGTTCCGGCATTGTGTGCGACGGGTGAGTACCAAGGCTGCTGGCTCTTCAGGGCTGCGATGTACATGTACATATGTATATATATATACACATGTATATATATATATATATATGGTCGCCCCCCCCCCCCGTTGACAGACCATGCCCTCTCAACTGAGTCGATGTGCATGGTGTGTCATCGGATG